AATCATCCAAGGTAGAAAGAGGGCGGGAAAGCCGACGTACTGCTGCTTCCTGGACGTGAAAAAGGCATGCGACACCGTATGGATAAATGGGATGTGGAAGCATCTGTCCAAATACGGGATCAAGGGGAAAATGTGGAGAGTGCTGAAGAAGATACTTGAGTGTACGAAAAGCGAGGTCATGCTAGACGGAGAACTGTCTAAATTCTTCGACATTGAGCAGGGGGTCCCACAAGGTTGCACGCTGTCCCCAACATTGTTCCAGGTGTTCATCAACGATCTGTTGGAAGTCGTAGAGGCAGTCCGGAAGGGAGTAAAAGTAGGGGACACGGAAACGTCGGTTTCAGGAATGCTGTTTATGGATGATTTTGTTGGCATGTCAGACACCCCTGAGGAACTGCAACTGCAACTTGACACTACGACGAAGTTTACTGATAAGTGGAGATTGTCTGCCAACGTTAAGAAGATGGAAGTGAGGGATCGAGGAGATTGCACTAGTGGACCAGTACACATACCTCGGAGTACAGATCGCAAAAGACTGCTCGTGGAATGCACACATGTCCAAGGTAGCGGAAAAGGGCAAAGCACGAGCAGGGAAGCTGCACCCAATACTCGCAAACCGGCACCTCGATACACGCATCAAATTGACGGTTTTGAAGAGCGTAATCGTACCGCCGCTAGAGTACGCCGGAGAAGTATGGGAAGGAAATAAGAAGGTAGTGAAAGAACTCGAGGCGGCGCAGATGAAAGCAGCGAAAACCATCCTAGGATGCTCCAAGCGCACAAGTAATGCAGCCGTGAGGGCAGAATTGGGGATCCAATCCCTACGGTCGGGAAGAGACGCGAGGAAGCTGACATGGCAGTATCGCATGTGCGGGATGAGAGAGGAGAGGTTGCCGAGAATTTTATGGGAGGCGAAGGGGGCCAACAAAAAGAGGGGTAGGCATACAACGTAATGGGTCAAGGTTGTAGAGGACGTATGGAAGGGGCTCGACATCGACGAAGATGAAACGCTGGAGGGTCTACAGGGGTTCAAGGAGAAGATATCTGTTGCGTGTGCTGAGAGAGAAGAACATAATCTAAGAAAAGAATCCAAGGATAAGGAGGGTCTAGAAGTGTACGGAATGTTGAAGGAAGGA